CTCGGGGCTGTACGGACTCCCAGGCTGGCGTGGGGGCCCTGTCACATCACACCCTCGCACTCCAGACCCGGCCCGTGCCCCCTCCCCCTGCCCCTGCCCCGTGTCACCTGCCTCTGCTGTCCGTCCGCCCAGGATGCAGATGTCCGATTTCCGCCGCTGCTTCGACGCCCTGGAGATCTGCAGCCTGAGCCCGGAGGTGCTGGCAGGGCCGGAGGAGGAGGAGGAGGAAGGCGGTGGCTGGAGCTCCCAGACTTTGCAGGGCCGCTGGGTGGCCGGGTACAGCGCTGGGGGGCACCGCAGCTACCACACCCAGGGTACGGCCCGGGCAGGGGGCGTCCTCCCTACCCCCCAGCCTCCCAAGTGGGGTGATCGGGGTAGAGACCAGGGCTGGGGGAGCCAGGGGCTGCGTTCTTGGGGGACCCTCCCAAATCTCCACCCCCCCGCCAGGGACCTACTGGATGAACCCCCAGTTCCACGTGGCCCTGGAGGAGCCGGACGCGGCCGAGGGGGAGGGTCCGGGCCCCGCGCCCACCTGCACCCTCCTGGTGTCCCTGAGCCAGTGCGGCCGGCGCCAGGTGCGGCGCCAGGGCCAGGACTTCCTGCCCATCAGCCTCGCGATCCTGAAGGTACCGGCCAGGATCGGGGCCCTCCTCTGCCCTGCCCTCGGCCAGGATCGGGGCCCCGCGGCTCCCGCTCACCCTCTGGTCTCTCTTCCAGGTGACGGAGGAGGTAACTGTCCGAGACCGGGCACGGGCCGCCAGCCCCCCAGCTGGGACATACCACGTCAAGAGGCCACGGGGTGGGGACAGGGTCCCTGAGGTCAATCGGGACCGTGGCCGTGGCCTGGTCCACGCCAGGTCCTGGCTGGGTCTCTGCTGGGTGGGTCCGTGCCACATCTATGCCCTCGTAGCCGGGTCCGACCCCCGTGGCCGGGTCCGTGGCTCAGGTCTAGTCTCCGGCAGTACCTGGCGGCCCCGAGCATGGCGTGGCAACGGGATCTGCTGTCGAGGCTGCCGGCCGTGGCCCAGACGCCCTACGCCTACCTGCGGGACGTGACGCTGCGCTGCCGCCTGCCGCCCGGGCACTACCTGGTGGTGCCCAGCACCTACCGCCCGCTGGACGAGGCCGCCTTTGTGCTGCGCCTCTTCGCCGAGCGCACGCCCACGGCCCAGTGAGTCCTGGGCATTTTGGGGAGGGGGCTGGGGGGCACCGGGAGCTCGAGCAGGCTGCAGCCACAGAGCTGCCACACGTGGCCCCCCGGTCCCGCGTGACGAAGCCGCCGGCCGCGGCCTTGTGTCTTCCAGGGAGATCGGGGACGAGATCTGGGAGGATGCGAGGCCCCTGAAGGTACCCGCGTCCCCGGCCATGCCCAGCCCCCTGGTGTGTGAGCATGTCCACACGCATGTGCAGGGACACCAGTGGGCGTGTGCGAGTGTGCATGCATGCCTGGGGGGGGCATGCGTACATGTCCGTGAGTATGCGCCTGCATGAGCATGTGGGCGTGCGTGCATGTGCATGTGTGAGCATGTGGGTATGTGCACAAGCATGTGCATGCATGAGCACAAGTGTATGCGTGTGTGTGTGTGTGTGTGTGTGTGTGTGTGTGTGTGTGTACCGGCCTGGGGCTGCTCCCCCCATGGTGGGGGTCTTGCCCTCCCCAGCTGACCCCCATCC